AGATGCTGTAAAGCCTTTATCTGATGACACCAATGTCTATGACATCTCAGGGTGGGCACCTGTTGATTGTCTTTCTTCTTACATGTTGAAATTTCCCTGGTTTTATATACTAGGTAATATTTGATTGTATCCTGGAGATGGACAGCTACGCATGTTGTTGTCAGCGGGATAATGGCTACGATTTAGGAAAGACTCAAACTATCGCAGTAGAACTAATTAATGCTCTCAAAGAAACATGACATAGGATGGACAGCAATGCCAGATGAGTTGATGAGTTAGGGAAGCAGAGGCTTGGAAGACGTGACATCTTGAAACATGAGAGCTGAGCAGGGAATAGCCAGGAAGGGACAGGAAGGGAAAAAGAGGGTAGCACGGAAGTTAGAAAGTAGAGAGCTTCCAGGGACCTGGCACAAAACGTGTTTGTTTGTTTGTTTTGTGAGAACATGTACATTCTACTTTCTAAGCAAATTCCAATTGTTCAGTAGCATTAACAACTGTAATCATCACGTTTTACATAAGGTCCTCAGACCATAGTCATCTTACACTTGGAAGTCTGTACCATTTTTTAAAAACACTTTTATTGAGCTATAGTCATTTGACAACGTTGTGTCAAATTCCAGTGCAGAGCACAATTTTTCAATTATACATGAACATACATATATTCATTGTCACATTTTTTTTTTGCTGTGAGCTACCATAAGATCTTGTATATATTTCCCTGTGCTCTGCAGTATAATCTTGTTTATCTGTTCTGCATAAAGTCTGTACCATTTTGCCAGCATCTGCTTATTTCTAGCACTCCTAGCCTCTAAAAAACCACTTCTGTACTTTCTGTTTCTATGAGCTGGACTGGGTTTTTTTTTTTTTAGTTCCCCATATAAGTGATACCATACAGTATTTGTCTTTCTCTTTCTCTTTCTGATGTATTTTACTTAACACAGTGACCTCCAGTTTCACCCATGTTGCTATAAATAGCAAGATTTTTTCCTTTCTCACGGCTGAATTTTACACACACATTCCCCACATTGTCTTTATCCATTCATCCACTGAGGAAAACATTTCCTTTCGCTATATGCCATGAAGTAGGATTGCTGGATCATATGGTTCTATTTTCAATTTTTTTAGGAAACTCTATACTGTTTCTCATAGTGTACCAATTTACAATCCCATCACAGTGCACAAGTGTGTGAAGAATCTCCTCATCCTCACTGACACTTGTTATCTCTTGTCTTTTTGTTGACAGCCATTCTTTTTTTTTTTTAATTTTAATTTTTTTAATGGAGGTACTGGGGATTGAACCCATAACTTCATGCATGCTAAGCACATGCTCTTCTACTGAGCTATACCCTCCCCCTTGTTGACAGCCATTCTGACAGCTGTGACATAAAATATCTCATTGCAATTTTGACTTGCATTTCATTGATGATTAGTGATGTCGAGCATCTTTTCATGTGCCTGTTGGCCATTTGTATGTCTTCTCTAGAAAAAGATGTATTCACTTCCTCTGTCCATTTTTCAATTTGATTGCTTGTTTTTTTACTATTGAGTGAAGAGTTCCTTCTATATTTATTTTGGCTATTAATCCCTTATCAGACAAACGATTTGCAAATATTTCCTCCCATTTCATAGGCTAACTTTTCATTTTGTTGGTTATTCCCTTGGCTGTGTAGAAGTTTTTAGTTTGATAGTCTCAGTTATTTATTTTTGCCTTTTTTTCTATGCTTTTGATGTGGAATCAAAAAAATCATTGCCGAGACCAACGTCAAGGAGTTTCCCCCCCATGCTTTCTTCTAGGAGTTTTATGGCTTCAGGTCTTATGTGCAAGTCTTTGGTCTGTTTCAAATTGATTTTTTAATTTTAATTTTTTTATTGACGTATAGGTGATACATAATGTTTCAGGTGTACAGCAGAAGCTTCGCAGGCTAGAATGGAGCAGCATGATATATTTTAACTGCTGGGGAAAAAACGCTGCCAGCCAAGAATATTCTGACTGGCAAAGTTGTCCTTCAGAATTAAAGGAGAGATAAAGAATTTTCTAGATAAGCAAAGGCAGAAAGAATTCATTCCCATTAGATCAGCCTTGAAAGAAATATTAAAAGGACTTCAAAAGCTGAAATGAAAAGATGCTTATTAGAATAGTATCAGAAAAACATCTGAAATTAGAAATCTCACTGGTAAAGTTAAATTCAGAATATTCTAATGTAATGGTGATGGATGAACCAGTTATAAATCTACAAATCACTTATAAATCTAATGAAAGTTAAAAGACAAAAGTATTTTAAATAACAAAATAGAATTTGTTAATGGATAAAAAATGCATGAAAAAATTTAATTGTAATATCAAAAGCATAAAACACGAGGGTGGATAAAAATGTAGAGCTTGGCCAGGAGGATCGAGATGGCAGTTCTAAGATGGAAATACAATACAAGTCTTCTTCGGGAAAAAGAAAAATCTCAAATGAACAACCTAAACCACCACCTAAAAGAATTAGGAAAAAAAAAGCAAAAAAACAAAATCCAAAGTCAGCAGAAGGAAGAACATAATAAAGATTAGAAAGGAAATAAATAAAATAGAGATCAAAAAACAATACAAAAGATTAATAAAACCCAAATGTGGTTTTTTCATAAAGATAAAACTGACAAACCTCTAACCAGACTCACCAAGAGAAAAAGAGAGAGGACCCAAATAAACAAAATAAGAAATGAAAGAGGAGAAATAACAATAGATACCACAGAAATACAAAAAATCATAAGGAAACACTATGAACAGTTGTATGCCCACAAATGGGACAACCTAGAAGAAATGGACAAGTTTCTAGAAACATACAACCTGATAAAACTGACTTAAGAAGAAACAGATCACTTGAACAGACAGATCACTAGAAATGAAATGGAATCTGTAATAATAATAATTTAAAAAAAAAACTCCCTGAAAACAAAAGTCCAGGACCTTCACTGGGGAATTCTACCACATTCAAAGAAGAATTCATACTGATCCTTCTCAAACTACCCCAAAAGATTGAACAGGAGGGCCACTCCCAAATTCATTCTATGAAAGCAACATCATTCTGATACCAAAAACCAGACAAAGACACTACAAACAAAAGAAAATTACAGGCCAGTAACTCTGATGAATATTGATGCAAAAATCCTCAACAAAACTTTAGCAAAGCAAATCCAACAATACATAAAAAGGATCAGAGACCATGACCAAGTTGGATTCATTGCGGGGCTGCAAAAATGGTTCAATATACACAAATCAAGCACTGTGATACCTCACAGTAACAAGAGAAAAGGCAAATACCACAAGATTATTTCCTTAGACACAGAAAAAGCATTGGACAAAATTCAACACCCATTCACGATCAAAACTCTCACTGAAGTAGGTGTAGAGGGAACGTATCTCAACATCGTAAAAGCTGTTCACAGCAAATCCACAGCCAACATAATACTCAAGGGTGAAAAATGGAAATCCTTCCTGCT